TCCTACCTCTTCCCAAAGCAGTCTGTGTTTATTGTTAGGAATTTTTTCCTGATGTCCAACTGAGATATACTTCCTCATAACTCTTTTGGTTTTTCTGCAACAATTACGAACAGTTCTTCAGCTCTTCTATATTATACCTGTTCAAACATCGTAGAATAGAATAGAATAGAATTTGAATTGAATTGGATTGGATTCTTTATTGGCCAAGGGTGATTGGACACACAAGGAAATTGTCTTGCATAAGCTCTCAATGTACACAAAAGCTGTAAGTGATAAATCATGATCATAGTCATCATAAAAATGCATTCATCATAAATCATACTCACACTTAGCGCGATAGTCATAGGATACTCAATAAATACTCAGTGCCTCCATGTGCATCCCTAATAAAACCCTCGCCACCAGCCCCTTCTCTGTCTCAGTTTCTTTCTTGATATGCTCCAGTTTCTCAGAGCCTATCCTAATTGTGGTATTGAGAACTGGTTGCAATATTTTAGGCACAGTCTGACAAATGCAAAATAGAGAAGAAAAATGACTTTTGACTTCGATTATCATAGTTCCTTAGCTAGCATTGCTATAGGCTGTGCTCTCACTGTAAGTATAAGATTTTCAGTTCAAAACCCCAGATTAGGGATCTTGATATTATAACAACAATAACAAACAAAAAAACACGAAATACTGCAACCTGACCATTGAAACTATGTGATTATGGATGAAACATGAAACTGTGATACCCATTGTCATCAGGGCACTTGGTACCATGTCCAAAAATTTTATAAAATACATCAAGGAATTGCAGCTTCCTGCAATAACACCAGTGGAACTGCAAAAACCTGTGCTACCTGGAACATCATACATTTTAAGAAGATACTTGGTTGATACCTAGGATGCTGGCAGCAACGCGTATCAACCATTGGCGCCAGTCAATGACATTTGTGATACATTTTTAAATGTTCAGTTGACTGAGTTTTGTAATAATAATTCATTAAACGTGTCATTTTGCCTATATCTCTTTTATCTCAAATACTTATGAAAACATAATATCTCTTTTATGCAAGTAATGTGTGTCCAATGATGACATAATTTGAAGTAGAAGGATGACCTATTTTTCCACTTCCTGCTTTCAAGAAGTGATGGTTTTATGTGGGGGAAGGAATTAGGCATGGTTCCGCCCCTTTTTATAAACAATTCCACCATCCATTTTTATTTTGCATATTTTGTGGTGACGCAATTAAAACCAACAAGCAATCTTTCCTGGAAAAATTGTTAAGACAAAACTAACTGGCCTACAGCTCTGTAATCTTGTAGGGTATATAGCTGATTATCCAAAATTATCCCAGGACATTAAATCTGTAAGAGGATGTACACTTTTTTCTTTTGCTGTCATATTTTTCTAGAAGTAACATGGCTACATTTTCCCTTACCTGCAGAATTCATACCTTTATCATTCAGTTAAACAGTATTAAACATTATTATGGTAATAGGGGATATTTTAGAAGGTTTTGCTTTCAGTGCTCACATCACAGTTTTCTTAAATTATATTAATGACCACTTCTTCCATTACAATATTTTTTTAAATTTGTGTATTTCACTATAGCTTAACATAAAAATTAATATTTCAATATTTGCACACTGGAGGAAAAGTAAATCTATTTTCCTACATAAACATAATAAGGAAACATGGATCTAAGTAGATTTCTTAAGTTCAGTTACTCGGAAACAATATAGATTGTCCTTGCTTAGCAAAGTTGATTAGCAATAGCACCTAGACTTATATACCGCTTCACAATGCTTTAGAGCCCTCTCTAAGTGGTTTACAGAGTCAGCATATTGCCCACAACAACCTGGGTCCTCATTTTACCTACCTCAGAAAGATGGGAGGCTGGGTCAACCTTGAGCCAGTGAGATTTGAACTGATTCATGACCGTTTGAAGTTATAACACTCTTTTAAAAAGCTACTTATAACCCATCGTTGAAGTTATGATTGCTGCCACCACCATCATTTTGGCCTCATGATTGTATTTTGGGCATTTGTCAAGCAGCTCTCAGTTGGGGGCAATATGCTGACTCTTTAAAGTACTTAGAGAGGGCTGTAAAGCTCTGTGAAGCAGTATTTAAGTCTAAGTACTGTTACTATTTACGGTACAAGCAGTTGCCTCGCTATGTTTTTGCCATTTTCAATTTACAATAGGTAATGAGAAATATCTTCTCCAGCCATTTCTAGTTGGCTTGCATTTGCTAGCTAATGATTGTTTGTGGGGTCAAAAAACTCACCATGTGTTTCTAAGTTTTCGAATTTACAGAAAAGTTGAAAACATGAATGGTGACCACATATCTTTTTGCTGAAATGTGACAACTAAGAACTAGGAGTTTCTTCCATAGCTTAGAAGATAAAACTAGAATTTAATTTATTCCATACTATAGAGAGATGAACTCGTACCACTTGTAAGCTGGTGAGAGGTGTTGTGGATGCTTTGATGTTTCAGTGCAAAACACAGTCATATATAAAACTGCCCTCAATCCCTATTATGTTATTGACCTATATAGATCAAGTTATTTTCTGCTAACAGTAGCTAAGATTTTCTGGCTAGACCTTTGCTGGGAAACACAAATGTCCTTATAAAGGCATATCTCTACCCCCACATGTGTTGTTTGTTTTGCATACCACACTATTTTTTCCTTCCATTCAGTTGTGTCTGATTCTTAGACTGCCTGATTGTGTCTGATTCTTAGACTGTCCAGCTAATGTCTTGAATAAACAGCAGCTAGTAAAGTTCACCTTAACATGCTAAACTTAAACCAGATAAACCCATATAATACAGCTTAGTGCAATATGTGGTCAGTTTATGAATGCTGCATGTGGCTTTGAATTTGCTTCAGTGAATCAGTGTGGGCATAGGATCATGTCTAAGGAAGACAGAAAGCTTAGTTATATATTTTAACTCTGGTTGAAGGAAACTGTTTTGGGGAGTATTTCTTTTCCTCTTTCCTGCCAGCCCTTCTCTTAATCCCTCTGTCATGTATGCCCAGTCTTTTACTGAGCTTTCTCTCTTCAGTACTTGATACTCAAACTAGCAAAATCCTAATTAATGCTAGATCAAGTTTATTTTCAAACCAAAGACCAGCATCAAGACTGAAAGCTGATTTAAGTCACTGACTTAAGATCAAAGGATGATTAAAAGTGACTTCAAGGTGCACATTGTAATAAAACATGGTTATCACTGAGCAGACATGGAAATGGGCAGAGGCAGGCCTCTGAGGCAGCATGACTTTTCAAGTAGAATGGGTTTTACAGACTAAGGTGAGGCTCATGCACCTCTGTCCCCTTTATTGGAAGAGGCAGAATCTTCTGGGAATTCTGTGTATATTGTAAACTTTCCTGTTGAGCTTGGAGGTTATTTTCCTCAGAGTAGGAAAGCTCTGTAGTGGTTGTTTGATTCCTATATGCTTTGCTGTTTTCATTTGAAGGAAGGCAGAAGCAAATATGGCTTTCCCTTAACAGGGAGCTTTTTAAAGGTCTTTTTCACATTCTGGAGACATATCCTTAGTGTTATCAAAAGATTCAGAAGAAATTTTTAAAATTACATTGCTAGTGGAGTGGCAGGGAGATCTAAGCATTCCTTCGCATGAATCTAAAACAGTGTCTCAGATTCATTCTTTATGTTTCATACTTGTCCCTGAAAGACCTTTTTCTAGGGCAGATTTCATACCAATGCAAAAATCTTTATCCCTCAGTTTTGCAGTGCTGCATATAAAAAGGAATGAGCTTTAAGGATTAGCCTGCAATCATCTGACCCTTCATGTTTTGTCTTAAATTAGTTTCTTCTTCCCCTCTGGCTGACATACACAAAATTGCACATCAAACATAATTTTTAGATTATTTTTTTTCTAATTCAACCACCCCCCATGCTCAATTGAAATATCTTCTTTTATTTCTGATACACTATTAAACTGAGGTGCTGATAGCCTGAACTTAGAAAAAGTGCTTTGGTTAGCTTTCAGTGGCATGCCTGGAATGTGTGGTGGATGTTGGCACTTTAGTCCTATATGGGGGTATTGAGTCCTTTTTTCCAGATGGGGAGTAAGGACGATAGTCTTTGGTAAAAGAGTACTTCTCATGTATGTTGGAGCCATTGTATTATGTGTGGTTTTGGGTTAGTGCATTTATCTTTTCTGTTTCAGTAATAGAACTTTGGGAAGATACTTAGTAGACTTCATCTTACTTAGAGCCGTGTTGGCACAGTGGTTAGAATGCAGTATTGCAGGCTAATTCACTGCTCACTGCAGGAGTTCAATTCTGAGCGGCTCAAGGTTGATTCAGCCTTCTATCCTTCCAAGGTCAGTAAAATGAGGACCCAGATTGTTGGAGGCAACACTCTGTAAACTGCTTAGGGAGAACTGTAAAGCCCTATGAAGTGGTATATACGTCTAAGTGCTATTGCTATTACTTCATTTTAACAAGATAGGTGCATTTTGTGATCTTGTATCTGTTCTTCCACTGTTATTGTTACTTTAGCAGAAAAGTACTTGGGCAGCACCAACAAACTGTCCCACATGTCAATGTGCAGAGAGTCTTATATGATTTTTAAAGATGTTTGGCCTATGGCAAGCCAGAAGAATGATGCCGTGATGCCTTTGGACTGGACAGGCCTACTGTGCGAGTTGACCTTTTTAAAGGACTTTGAAGGGCAAAATGGATGCCCCAAGGATTTGTGAACTCATATTCAGGTGACCTCTGTGTTCTGGGAAGATTAAAATTAGATATCTGTTTCGCCCATGAAATTGTGAAAATGCTGACCCTATCCACTAATGATGATGGGGAGGTGTGCTGGTTAAGTAAAAAGGTGAAGCAAGACAGTGTTTCCCTTTTGTAGTTGGGTTTTGCAGGACCTTAGAAAAAGAGTATACTTATGACTGTCCACCTCAGGTTTGGGATATATTTGGAAGTGGCAGTAGTTGTGGATGTCTAGTGGTTGAGTCATTGGGCTAACATATGGTAGATCTCTCCTTTGCAGATTCCTCCCGTGGAAACAATTCCTCAGATAAAGAAAGAAAAGCACAGTACCCAGGCTGCCAAGAACAGGGCCAAGAGGAAACCTCCCAAAGGAATGTTTCTCTCTCAGGAAGATGTGGAAGCCGTGTCTGCCAACGCAACTGCTGCCACCACTTTGCTCAGGCAGCTGGATATGGAGCTCGTCTCCATCAAGCGACAGGTATGTGTTTTCTCCTGGCAACAGAGCGAGGCTTCTTTTTAATCATCTGATACATATTTTAAACAATCTCAACTTCACAGCTCCCTGGGAGGATTTATAGCTTTGGTGCGATGTTTGCATCAGGATGAGACCTGATTAACAAGCTGTCAGTTGCAGTACATTTTAGAGGAGAATTATTTCAACTTGGCTTTCTATTTACAGTGCAGCAAAATGAATTGCCAACTTCCTGTATCTTACTCAGGACGTCATTACGGATTTCCATAAATCAGTTTCCATGTTTCTCCACCCTTTGGGCTTTCTAGTTTCTAAAAACTTTTATAGCAGTAATCAATTATTTTATTGATTTCCATCTAATTTCTAATTTTACACATTCAAGTATAAAATATTACAATATTTTTCCTCTGCCTTACCACTTCTATGCAGCTACTGGTAGCTTTTATTCTTCTATTTCCTCTATTGGTTAGAATATTTCTGCCCTTATCATTTGTTTGGTCCGTGGGCATCCACTTAAACATATCCGTTTGACAATGATCAGTTCCTTTTATATTTGCCACACTGTCTATTCTACTTGACATTTTAAAAGATTATTTTAATTTTAAAAGACATTTAAATGAAAAACTGTGGATTGCAAAGCACAACTTCAACCTTCAGCATCAACTGTGTCATATGTTCCACTGGCAGGTACATAGATAGCTTTTATTATGATCAGGCGTTGGGAAAAAAAACTCCATAGGCATCTTCACAAAATAAAAATAATGAGTGGCTGCAGTTCAGAGGGTGAGTTAGGGTTGTTGTTGTTTTTTAAATGCCATGGTGTTCAAAAGAAAGACATAGGTAAGCAATGGGAACACAATCATTTTAAAAACGTAAGGGTTCTATTGGGAATCATGCAACTTAGCACGGTTTTTTTTTTTACAAGTATCAACATTAGAAAGTCCCCAAAGAGCTAAGAATGAAAGAGCCTATTCCCCATTATTCCTTCTCAACTATTGAGTTGTTGGATGTTTGGGTGGGAGGGAAAAAAGGACAAAACCGAATCTTAGTTGGGAAGGGAGCTGTGTTTCTTGGAGGAATGGGGGCTCTTGTTTAAATGATTGGTCAGGGGAATAGATAGTATTTCCCAATGCTTTAGAGAATATTTGAAATTAGATCAATTTTTATACAAACTTCGTATATTATCCATACTGAAAGAGGAACTTTTCTTTTCAGATTCAAAATATCAAACAAACAAACAGCTCTCTGAAAGAGAAACTTGAAGGAGGAATAGAGCAATATAGGTTACCAGAGGTAAGCTTGTGTTCTAATGGGAAAGTATGTTTTTCCCCCTTCTTTTCTGAAGTTTATAGAAGGGTACCTGAGTTGATCAAATTTGCCATTTATCCCCATAATTAAATTGGGCTGCAGAGATCCTTCAGGAGCTTGTGAGGTCCAGTGCAATTTGGGGAATTATCCCAGTTCCTTTTCTAGCTCCAGTATTGGAATTAGGATGAGAAGAAGTGCACAGTTTACAATCAGGATGCCCTCAAATTTCGACTTGGTTGACAAAGCCAACCTATGCATGGACTCTGGTAGCTAACATTGTGCTAAAATCATTGACTGCTCCCTTTATCCCCCTTTTCCTTTCTGCTGTTATAAATTAAATGTTGCTAACTAAATAATGGACTACCTATAATTTCACTTGAAAAGAAATTTAAAAAAAAACATGCTGAGAAAGAATAATGCAGGCTTTATTTAACAAATGACTGCTCAAGCAATGTATTCAATGTTTCATTTGTATACAGTTTGGGGGCTGAGGTTTAAAAGCACATCTGTTATCTAAGTAAATTATTCTCTTTATGTTTCATGACACTTAGGTAACATCGAAATTTAATGCACGCTGGACCACAGACGAACAGCTTCTTGCAGTGCAAGGTATGGCATTGCAAATACATTCCTGTCTGTAGGGAAGATGACCCTGTGTCTTGATTTCTGGTGGAGCATTTCCTCATTGGCCAGTGAAATAATTCTCCAAATTCCTGCTTCTGACTCATATCTTAGGGTTGATAAACTTTGAGGCCTGAACTGCATTTACTGTAGGGTCAGACTCATTCATTTTTGCAGTAACAGTTTCCCATATGCGAGATGATGACTGACCCAGTTCCTCATATTCCAAGTCATGATTGTTGGTTGAAGTGGGCAGAGTTTGACTGGACATGCTAGCCTTATTCTGATGCATATTTTAAACATAAGAATGATTTCTTTCTGTGTGTGCTTGCACTGTATGCAAAACGTGCCCAATTTCAGCCAGTGCAGGCATACTTACAAGGGTGTGCTTACAAAAAAGTGTCCTTGTTTCTGCTTTCATCAGGTTGTGGAAACATATTCATTAACAACGTAGAAATATGGCTTGGAGTCCCTGTGGGATCAGTCATTAGCATTCATTTATTTCTTTATCAAATTTGTGTGCCCAGGGGCACTGAGCGTGTTTGAAAGGGACCATAACTGGTTTGTCCAGGCAGAGGAGGCAAGTCTAGAAGGCAAACCTAAATTCTGTTCTGCAACCAGTGATGCTGTTTTTATATATCTCTGATTCCCTTTTGAGAGCCCTGTTTCTCCTACCTACCATGAGAAACATGAATGTCCCAGTGATAAATTGAAACACTGTTCCCCTTCCTACAATAGTTGTTGGCAATGAATCTGCAGGTATACGGAATTGTGGCTGACTAGATTTAAGTACAGCAACACACCTGATTGAGAGATGATACCACTAGCATTAAGGCAGACTAGGAAAGGCAGGGCATCATCAAGGCTAGCGGATTTTGCCATTGAAGAAATGCAGTGGTGGCATTTAGATCTTGCTCACAAGATCCCAAAAGGAAAGGAGCAACTTCTGGGATAAGAGAGAGGTACATTAGCCACTTAAATGATCACACACAATTGTAGAAATCCAGCCAGCAAATCTTGAAATTGATAATCGTACTACTTAATGATGTTATTGAGGTTTACACAAAATTCATTAATTTCAGGGGATCATTGCCTGTCCAGATTTGAGCCCCCCTGTATTAATCAATTAAATATTTTAGGAATAGGATAGTTGCTTTTGCTTTAATGTTTTGTTTCATTTTAAAATGATTTTGAACTATTTAAACCAAGAATATGAATGAATAGAAAAATGTACCAAACAGATTAAAAAGGGAAAATAATTACACAGATGACAGAGTTTAGTTTTCTTGCTGACTATTTTTTTAAAACAGTGAACAATTAACATTAAAATCACCATATTTACCTTGCCTCAATATGATGTTTTTCATCATGAGAACAGCATACTAGATAGCATATTGTGTTCACTGGGATAACCAATGGTGAAGTCCTTCACAGTACTCTTGATGTTTGATTGTATATCAACTTTTCAGGATTGCTTCACTTTTAAAAGATTGTTGCTGGGTTTTAATTTGTTTTTAACATTGTTCACCAGCTAGGTTTTTGAATTGGGTGGCCTTAAACTAATTTATAACAATCATTTTATTTATACTTTGGGAGAAAGAGTGATAAGCAAAATACACAAAAGAAGAAAGAATTAATAAGAGTGGGCGGGGGGGGAGAGAAATCTCAAAGTGTGGGATAAGAAAAATTAAAAGGAAATATAGCTAAATATATATTTGGCCATAAGAAATATCAAATATTTTCAAACATACAGTTTTAGTAATTCAGTTGGTTTAATTGGTTTTATAATAAGTGTAAATTGTTAATTTTATTATAGAGTTGTCTGTAATGAGATTGGTGGCCATGTTTGATAAATAAAATAAAATAATAACCACATTGAGGCAGAATCTTAAGAAAGTCAAGATTTACCACTCTTCTATAAACCTATAATTGGTTTAGAAACAGTGTGACCCTTGATGTATCCCTTAAATTTAGTTGTTGACTTTGAAACTATAAATAATGTATCCATTCCATCTTTGAGGTTCATTTGCTCTGTCAATAAATTCTCTACAGCATCTACAGCATGCATTTTTTTGCAGTACTGTTGATGCAAATACGCGCTCATCAAATTTTATTCTGACATCTCATTCAAGGTCACAAGGGGATCTAGGCGAATTCTCACAACCGTGTCTACCTAGGCCACTCAATCTTATCTAGCTCCCTGCATGCTTGTGAAAATGCATGCTACTCTGAACAGGATTCCTTTGTATTAGTTTGAAGGTGTCCTCTGAACTTCAGAAATGGTACTGATGAGATATGTTTTCTTTTGTAGCAATCAGGAAATACGGTCGTGATTTTCAAGCAATCTCTGATGTCATTGGAAACAAATCTGTGGTGCAAGTGAAAAACTTTTTCGTAAATTATCGGCGGCGTTTCAACATAGACGAAGTCCTACAGGAATGGGAAGCTGAGCATGGGAAGGCCGAGACAAATGGAACAAATACACAGAAACCTGTCAAATCCCCGGATAATACTGTTAAAGTATCTGAAGAAGAGGATGAGGTAGTAGTAGTTTTTTTTTTTTAACTTGATGCATTTATTGTCCCAAACTGGATTATAATGTTTTTGTAGTAATATCAACTCTTTGGATAACTGTACTATATAACCATGCTGTGTAGAAAGGGATATCATCACTTGAGGTTTTGGTTGTCTCAAATGTGCTTTCCCAAAAGGCAACTGGACTTTCTTGTTTTTGTTTTTCTTTGAAAATGTTTTGTTTCTCATCCAAGAAGCTACTTTAGTTTTTTTATGAGAAGCGAAACATTTTCAAAGAAAAAACAAAAAACAAAGTTGGAAAAGCACCTTTGGGTCTCTCAGGAGTGTATCATAGTGCTAATCTATAAAATCTTCCTTTTCAGTCATATTGGCTCCCCCCAATTTTCTTTTAATACTTTTTAATATTTCTATGCATTCATAGTGTGGTTTTAGACTAACATTATTCATAGTTTTTAATTTATTTTGGCATTATTTACAATACCATAAATATCTGAAGGAGGTAAAACAGAAATGAATAAATGTGTGGCCAAAGGGACAAGTTTGACATTTGTGCTAACATTTTTCCCTCTTTCTTGCTTCATTGAAAATAATGCTTCTGACAAGAGAACTTGGTGTTTCAGAATTCTATTTGTTTTAGACTATTGATTGAGAATTCCAATATTATAGAATCTGAGGAGAGAGAGAGAGAGACTTGTTAATTCATTACTCTACATAACTATCTCCGGGTTTTCTTTCTTTCAGTGTCTGCTCTTCTTTCTTAAACCAGAAATGAAATGAAATAAAAGGGGTATGTGTGTGTGCATAAAAAATAATTTTAAAATGTTGCTCACTGCTACCATCTTTTTCTTCTACTGCAGGCTACTTCAGTTTTGGATGTCAGATATTCATCCACTTCATGAAAGACTCAGATAGCCTAGAACAATGTTATGTTTGACTACTATGTTATCTGAAATATCAGGTATTAGCAAAACTTCGGACAGCCATCTATATCATAACTCTGTGGATAAGCAGCTATTACCAAAAAGAGAGAGAAAGAGAGGACAGATCACAAATATAGGCAAACACTTCTGTTCCTATCCTGTATTTGCCTTAACTTTCTCCTCAATCTTCCCAACCAACCACGGATCCAATTTCTGCAACTCCTGGAACAAGCTCTTGGTTTTCAACACCATCAAGTTTTAAAGCATCAGTGACTTCTTGAACCATCTACATCCCTCTCTGTAAACTTTGATTGCTTGTCATGCTCACAAGTTACCTCCTGACATCAGGGGCATTTCTAAAACATACTCTGTAGTAAGATAATAGTATGCATTTCTATATGCCCTTGTATGATTTAAACTTATTTTTTATGATATAATCATTGCTGATAAGGTAACCTTTTATTTTTATTTTTTTAGTGAGTGAGTTTTCTGCTAAGAAAAGTATTGTGTCTATGCTGATTAATCCTTTCCAAAGTGATGTCCTCCAGTGATCCCAATACTTGGAGGCATACTGCGGAGAAAGCTGTGCTAGTTGGTCTAGTAGTTTATTTGAAATTAATGATGGGGGGGATGAGATTTTCAGAATAGAAAGCAGATTTTTTTCCTGTGTCTAATTCTGTTCTTATAGTCAACTCCTCCTTAGAAAACTCACTGATATTAATTGTGATTTTTATTATTATGATTATAATGAACCTTTTTATTTAGTGCAAAAGGGAATGTGCAGTGTGTAACCTTGCTTTAATTCTATATATGCATATACTTTACCATTCAGTGGACTTGCATTATAATCTCTAGGTGAGTAGCAAAATAAGTAACTTGATTGGATATCCAGGAGTTTAAAACATAACTTATTTTAATTTGAGGTGCGTTTAGACCGTTGCATTGGGGACCTCATGTTCTATTGAGGTGAGTGGAAGCTACTTCTTAGCTTTCCATGGTTAATTGCTGGTCTGGATGAGAGCTTAGTAGCAGTAATCACAAACCCAAAATAGAGTACATCAATACTAAAAATGCTTGTTGGCAAGTAATCTTCCAGTCATACATTTTATTCCATTTCTCCCCGATCCATGGCTCTCCTCAGATGATTCTAGGCATTTGGCTTTGACAGTTTTGGAGATTGATTCTTCTGAAAGATGCACAGATGTGGGATTTTTTTAATCAATGAGTTGGTTCTAACAATAGAAAGTTAAGTTAGTATTTTAATTGGGCATGCAGCAATATTTCCCCCCGCATTGACTTTGGTCCAATCTTCTCAACTCAAATGCACAGATCAGATAAAAATGAACTTGTAACTACAGTTCCTTTTTGAGTTCCTGAAGACAGCGTGTGAAATAATTTACCCCAGCAAGTGACTTAACAATTAACAGCTGTGCAAAACATGTTCCCTTCACTCACAGCTTATTATGTTAGGGCTTGCCTTTGTCAACTAGGATTGATTCACCTATTTACTAATTAATAATTACATGTTGCAATGACACCACAGCAAGTGCCAGAAAAACACCAGAAATGTTTGAGTTGGGCGAGCCTGGTCTGGGCATAACCATTAAGGAAACTTTTCTCTGTCTGTAAGAGGAGAAGCCATAGACAAATCTAAGAATCAATAGAGAATAAATCCTTTATAAAGAATGACAAACAGCTGGTCTAATATAGAACAGGTACGTGGAAAAGCCTGAAGATGCATATGGCAAAACCCGTGTCCCTTTCCCCAAATTAACTTCCAGTAATACTGCTTTATGTTTATGAAATCTGATTCAAATTATCGGCTCTGGGAAATGGATATTTTGTGTATTTTAAATACCCAGTTCATGCTTCTCCAACTTGGCATTTCAAGATGTGTTGATATTTTAGTCTTTAGTTCCGCTATTTGGAAATGTAGGCATCGTCTGGAGGGTGCCAGGTTGAAGAAACAGATTTATTCTCTTTATGTGAAGCCGAGTGTTTGTTAAAACACTTTCAAATGTTTTGATAAAGAATTGGCATATTTTGACCACTTTATAAGGCAAACTTGGTGTAGCATCCAGTCCTTTTGGGTGGGTGGGAGAATGATTTTTAAAATCTAGCTACAGTGATAGGCAGTGTGCAATTTTATAAAATCTGAAAAATATCCATGTAAATATTTTATATTCTATTAGCAAAAAAAGTAGAATAAGGTAGAGCAGCTGGAGTGGACTGTCTGAAATCTATGTTAGCTAAGAGCTAAAATGTATGATATTTGTTTTATGTGATGTGTTATTGTTGGGTTGTACCATTTTAGACTGCAGCAGAAATTAAATGTTCATAAGCTCCCCCATATTTTTATACAGAAAAATATGGGGGAGCTTATGCACATCTTTGTACATTGTTGCATTCACACATTCTACTTAATTTCCTTGGTCACAAATGGGTTGAACCAACTATAATGGTTGGACTAGCACATCATAATAAGCCATAACCCATGGTTCACAAAATAACAGTGGTTATACCCGTGGGTCATATAACATGCTAAACCAAAACAAAATGAGATATATTCCCCACTTTTGTATATCTGGAAGAGACATTGCATTGATACTCAGTTTGCCAAAAAACCAGTGATCCAAATTTCTGCGTCTTTCTAAATTACTGTCTTTTAAACAAGTTATAACAATGTTTGCACTTTTTTAAAAAAAACATTGATGTTCACTTCTTACATCCCCATTCATTTCAGTAATATATACACAACATTCCTTCTTTTTAAATAACATGACAGGCCTCTTCTAGTGATCCTAAGACTGTTTTATCTTACTGAAAAACAGATGAATACAAAGCAAGGGTTCCTTTTAATGTGGTGCTAATAGTAAGTAATCCATTGAAGTGGTTTGTCCTGCTTCTCCAAACAGGCCCCAGGGACCTCCTAAATAGAATGAGAGGTGAGGAGGAGGAACTGGGCTCAGGAGGTCACAGTAACTGAACAGAAATCTCTCTCGTGAGCAGAAACATCACCTGTATATACCATCCAGGTTTTGCTAGAACAAAGGTGAACAAGACAAAAGTTCATTAGGTAACTAGTTCCTTGAACATAAATGAATTAAATTGTATTTTCATTATGACATTGTTAACATTTAATCACTGCTCCAGCCTCAAGTGGTACAAATAAATGATGAATCTAATAATCATGTGGCTTAGCTCTGAATACTAATATGTTGCATTGCTCTCTTCTATGAATTTACCAAACAATATGATCAGAAAAAGATTGAGTTTTGGCTCGTTCCCCTGTGGAAATTGACACAAAATCCCTCTATGAGGACGATAACTTATGTATATTTTCTCATTGTTTCATTACTATCATATTGTAGATTTGCCCACCTGTTAACTGAAATATGCTTGTAATTGTTCCATTGTGAAATGGGAAAACTTATTTAGCTTTTAGGGTTTTTTAAAAAAAAAATCTGATGTTTTGTATGGGACAAACCAGATTTGTTGTTCAAGCATTATTTAATCAAAACTTCATGTAGAAGGGTCCACAAAGATTGCTACGTAATATGTAAAACTCACATTTTGTTTTCTTAAACTAGCAATGTGAATGTTATAGTTATATATATTTTGTGGAAGATGGAAAATTTTATTTCTTATTAGGTATAAATTATTGTGCATAACTATAGTATCACAAAAAAGTGATACTTCTTTTTTTAAAAAAAAAAAAACCAGCAAAATCCTAGTTTTAGAAATCTTAACCAATGTATTGTATATGCACCAAAATTTTACATTTGTTCTATTTAATTTTTAAATGTAGTTGTGTAACATGACAGTAAATTTTTCATTTTCCATGCCTCCCTGCTCCATTAGAATATGTTATTACTTGAATATTATCTCTTAACTAGACTGAAATGCAGCAATTAAACATCTGTAATCTAGAATGAAGGGAATGGAGGAAGCAATATATATGATTCCATGTACAATACAGAACTTCTTGCAACATTGTACAATCATACAAGTTCAGTGGTAGTTATAGTGGTAATCCAGGCAAACAGGCTGTTGTATACATATTTCAGGGATTTTTAAATACGTTTTGTGAAGTTAGCCTCTTTTACTGCTTCTTTCTTGTTAATAATAACAGTTATAGTGATAGTGGGATATTGCACCCACTGGTTTGAGGCCCTGGCCCAGGTGTGATTGTTACCCCATGTCTCCTCATTTTCAGCAGAAGCAGTGAAAGGAACCTCTTGCCATTTATGACTACACAATTGTGAAGTCTTCAACATATTCAAGAAGTCTACATTTTCTGATGTAGGTGAATCTGGTCTTATCTCTGCCTTTCATGTCTTCTGCAAACCATGCAGAGTATCAGATGCCTCAGTCAGTGTTGTGCAGGGAGGTTAACTGTGGAGAGAGAAGACGTTGGTCTTATATCATTCTGAAAGTGAAATTAATTCAATGAATTAGTTGTCTCTTTGGCTATGTGTAGTTCTCTAATACAAGGGTCTTCAAACTTGATGCTTTAAGACATGTGGACTTCAACTCCCAGAATTCCTCCTCCAGTCATATTAGCTCAGGAATTCTGGGAGTTGAAGTCCACATGTCTTAAACTTGCCAAGTTTGAAGACCCTTGCTCTAATAGGAAGAAAAAGTTCCCTCTTTTTAAAAGCCAGTCGTTTTATTGCAGCATTGGTAGATCAAATTCAAGAGAGATCTGCTTCTTGGGGTAGGGGAAAAATCTAAAGGTGTCTTGAGCTCAAGGAATTTGATTGATTGTTCTGTGGCTCTTGCTCTGGGATAAAACAATACCCAGATTTTCTCTGCACTTTTTTTAAGGTGTTAAATTATGATCTTGGCAATTTCCCCCATTTTAGATAGCTGTTGGCTAAAACATTTTAATTTAAATTCTTTCCTCCTTTCCATCATTCTAATAAGATGTTGGTATCCTTGCACATCAAATACAAGTCAATCGTTTTGTTAGATTAATAACTCCATAAAAGGGGTTTATAAAAATTGGAATTTAACATTAATCTAAAAAGCAAAGGGTGCAGGGGAAGTTATAAGTGAGATATACCCCCCACCCCAGTCTATATTTTTTAAAATGTAGAAAAGATAGCCAAGGTATATAGCAAAGTGCTGTATAATGAAAATCAATTTAAATTTTATTAGCTCCACTATGGGTACTAACTAGTTGAAACCCAGCATCTTGTGTGATGTTCTGTTGCCTCAAGGCAGTGCAGTTCTAGGCACAATTTGCTGGGCATTGAGACTGCATAGCTTCCATTCATTTCTACATGGGATGGGTGGGATAGGTGTACAGGAATTCCCTGGCTGCATGTAATCTTACAAAAGAGAGGGACTATACATCAACAGTGCCTGTTAGTTTGATGCCTCTGTGGATGGTAAAGCACAATTACTGCAAAAACTACAGTTCTGAAACAGAAGGTCAGTATCGGTATATGTCTATGCATGTTGAATATTAATGAATGTTTACATTCATGTTCTCATCTGAATTTATATTGGCATGTGTATATTATTGCATTATTTAGACCATCCTCTTAGAACCTATTGTATTCCAGATTTGTTGGAGCTTCAGTTCCCAAAATTCTCAGCCAGCATGATTACATATTTTGGGAATTGTAGTCCCATAATATTTGGAGGGCACCAAATTGAGAAACATTGATATAGTTTTTATCAGCTTATGTTAAATTCTCATAGATGGCTTATATGGGTCTTTTCCCTCCCTCTCCAATATTTTATTCGCTGTATAATGTTATGTTTGCAAATATAATAAAATTCTGTATAGCCTTTGAACTGATAAAACATTTCGCATCGGAGAGGTTTTTTTAAAGTATTATAATCTGTTGTAAATAATATTTTTCATATGTTTTCTTTCACATTTTGTCTATTTAGTACACCTGAGGTAGTTAATGTTCGTAGAATTATAAAGCTACTTATCCACTGAAAAATAACAATTCAGAGATTCTTTTCTTTGAATTGTCAATTTTCAGGTTCAAGATTCCACCCCCCTCCCCTGAAATTTTTCAATTTTTCTATTATTTCCAATGTTTGCTGACATGACATTAATGCAACAAAGATCAAGCCACCGATATAATTCTATATGTCTTTAAAAGCATCCTTCTTCTAAAATGAATGGATCATAACTGGTTTATGTCACCTTCTGGAATTTAAGAGATCTTCCCCTGGGGATTCCAACCCATTGTCTTTACTTCCTTCTTGCCACTTCCTTTCCAAGCATATTGAATGATTTATTAACTATTAAAATTAATAAAATCCATTTGTAACAGAATTATAATCACTTTGATGTGCCACTGTTCAGGGTTGCTTACTTATCATGTAATGCCTTCCCAAAGAGCCATGTGTTTTCACAGCTTGCAAAATTGGGAAGGTTGGTCCAAATATTTCTGTAATATTTGCAAATATTTTTATTTTATCTTTTGCAACTAAGATTTCACCATTGTTCATCTATGTCCACTTCCATAGTAGACTGCATGCTTTCAAAGACCCATTGTCAAATCCTGACAGACCTCCACTGTAGTTCTATTATATCCAAGTTAACAAATTTGGGCTGCCCTTAATTATCAATACCAAAATTTGTATTTATCAGGATGACCAGCTAGGATGGTCATCCTGATACATACTGGACTGGAATGAGAATAGATATTTGTTGTATGCCCCAGAGGAAGGCTGAAAAGCTCAGTTTGCTTGTGCAAGTCTTACCAGTGTGTGTTTCAGAGAGAAGACATGATTTTCAAAGAAAAGTTTCTGGATCTATGTCTTTCTGTCTATCATCTATCTGTCTGTTAATCTATCATGTAATTTTTGAACTGCCCATCAGGAGGCAGACTTTATTGTGGACACCCATCCATTGTATAACAGACATATTGGAATTGTAACAGTTCTAAGGGAGTAAAGGTGAAAATTGCACTCACTGGGAACCCTAGAAATCCATGTAAACATATCTGAGGGGTACCAGGCTAAGGAAGGCTGATAGAGACAATATTGAGTTAAAGAGACCTGACAGCTTTGCGCTGTTTGCAAGCTTGCTTTTCACATATCTAATTGCCTCCTGGACTCCCCACTGAAAGAATTCAATCTATGTTGGATGGAATAAGTAAAGGGAAAACCTTTATTTTTCAAGAGTATGTTTTCCTGATTATTTTTGCTTGCTGGTCCCAGTTCTCTGTATTGCTTGGTTTCCTGCAGTGTTGACTCAAAAACACATTTAACTATAATATAACTATTTTTCAGGCTTTTGGGGGGGGGGGTAATTGTGGCATTTTGGATCATGAATATACCCAATTTTAGCAATCTGTCTCTTGTAGAACTGTCCTAGGCTTCACTAGTGTGATAATCCACATCCTGACAATTAATTTTATAAATTCTTGCTGCAAACAATTGTTAAAATTCACAAAAAGGAAACAGAAGCAATGATCTTTCCTAACACGTGGCCAAGAAACTTGAAAACTCATTTGATGGAAGCTGACATGAACATTAATCGCTATTTGTAAGATGGTTATTATTTGAAGAAACCATGTATTTTTTACACTACATAAATGAGTGTGTGGTGCCTAATGGTGAAGACCAGGGCTGTCAAACTCGCAGCCCGTGGGCCAGATGTGTCACATGCTGGCCCCGCTCCCACCCAGTTTAGCGAAGGGGGAAAAAGTCCTGATACATCACATGGTGCTGCTGTGATAACGCAAGTTTGATACCCCTGGTGAAGACGCTTCCCTCCCACTTGGAAAGTTGAGAGCTCAATCCTAGGTAGCAGCAAATGTTTCTTGGGGTGCAAAGAGAAAATATCTGCTGCAAATTCCATGTAGGCATTTGGAAGGGCATCTGGCCAGTAAATGCTCCACTTCAGTCAGTCACCCCTACTCTGCCCCGAATGTAAGGATTATAGAGTCGTAAAAAGAAAAAAAAAATCAGGTGAATTTTAGGTGAATTTTATAGATATAGTGAAATTTATATAGAACATGAAAACAACTTTAGCATGCAAGTAGTCCTTGACTGATGACTATAATGGATTCTGTCCATTATAAGCTTAAGTTGTGACAGTCATAAAACATGACAACTTTTTTGGCAGTGGTCATTAAGCCAATGCGGCAGTCATTAAGCGAACACTGCTATTGAATGAACCAATGGTTTGGAATGGGGAGTTTTGCTGAAAAAACAAGAAGAAAATGGTGGTTGCTGAGCACCCAAAGTTCAGTCACATGACTGCAGGAAGACTTCAATATTGGAACTTTGAATCTGGGTCATAAGTAGCTCCCAGGTAGGTCTGTCATAATCAACAGTTGCCAAGCGACTGATCTTAAGTTAAGGACTACCTGAACCAAGTAAAGGTATATATGACAATTATCAAATTACTGCCTTTTTGTATGACATCTTTTTCTAATTTTTAAATTGAAGCAGCCCCTGGATTTGTTAAATGAAAGAGTTAAGGCTATAAAAATGGCACTGGAGTTACTGCTGTCTCAAGTCGGTTGGTTCAAATTTGTACAGAAGTACAGCAAGTACACAATCTGTTTCTCAGGGGAACCATGAATACTAGAGGCTGTACATGTTTGTAGCTATTATCCAGCAACAGATTTGCTCTCCTCTTTCTTCAGCTTAGGAAGTTAATGAAAGAGAGAACACACGCAAGAATAAGCTAAGTAGATGCTGTACCACACATTGGAACGAGCTGCATGTTTTAGAATTGAGCTGCCCTATTTTTAAAGTTGAAAGAACAAGAGGGACCACAAATGGGTTTGTGGATGAACTCTGTGAGAGTGGCGCTGCTGGAAGGATCAAATTGGGGGGAAATCATGGAGAAAATCTACTTTTGTTAGGGATCCATAAAATCTTCAGTTTATCAACCCCTTCATGAAGTTTCAGGTTGTTCATTGACACTCCCCGAACCTTTATTATATGAGTTCATATATATAATATATAATAGTACTTTGAATAACAACAGATAATAGGTGATTTTTAAAAAATAGGTGATATTTAAAATAGGTAAAATGTAAACCTCACATACTGATCGTACTCCCAAATGTCCAGATATAGTTGCTATCATGGCCCTGTCAGAGCCGGAATCCGCGGGGGAAGGTGAGCTGGAGCTGGGGCTGATGGAATTCAAGGGGGTGGACTCGTTGGCTCCAGTGGAATGTGGGGAGGAGTAGAGCAAGGCAGCTTCAGGTCCTTTGGGCCTGGGGTGGCTTGCCAGCAGGGAAGAACAGGGGCAGGATGACCAAGAAGGTGGAGGGAAAAGAGGGCAGACAGTGGAGATGAGCGACAGAGCTCAGGTGACGAGCAAGGACCGCTTCCTTCTGATGCCCGAACAGGGAGAGTGGAGAGGAAGTGGGAACAGCACAGGGCAACCTGAAATCTCAGGAGGAGAGCACCCTGCCCCTCTTCACAAGGCACATCTGGGAACTGAGATTTAAGGAGATGCTGTGGGGAGGGGCGTTTGTCAGGAACAAGCACTGAATTTGTGGAGTTTTGTGTGCTGTTGCCGATGTTTAGATTTCGCTGGATTTCTTGCCTTATTGCTGCTTTGTTTCTTTGCCTCGCTGGAGTTCTTGCCTTGAAGCCATTGTGCTAACAGCGTTTTGCTAGAGACTGCTGGAGGTGTGTGTGTGAGTGTTTTGCTTCAGGACTTGCCATAAACATGGGAGCATTTGAGGGAATGTTGGAACAATAAAGGGGAGTTTGAATATAAGATGGCTGTGTTGCCTCTGTGCCTTGTCCTGGGTCATCACAATTGCCCTTGTTAACACTCATCATACAGTCTTCCCACTAATGATATCAACATTTTCAGTTTTTAAAAAAGTGACATTAAATCTTATTTTTAATTTTAAGTTATATTTAATATAATTTTAAATGGAAATGATTGATATCTTTAGTGAGAAGACTGTGAATGAGGATCAACAAAGGCAATGATATCGGGAGAGTTGATCGGTATGTTAGGAACAGGAATGCTGCATGTCTGTACATCCTGGGTTAAAGGAAAGCAGCAGGATAGAGGATTACAAACACATAATGCAAAACAGTAGCAACACACGGCTGATGACAACTCAAGGCTGTC